GAGGGTAAAAACTGGCTGTGGACTAGTTTTAAACCCTAATTCTTGCGAAAAACTCCGTAAAACAATTGAATGTTCATTAGAAGTGAGTAGGGCTTGTTTTCGCAATTTGGTCTTGTTGTCAGAGCGACCAAGTTGGACCCACCTTTTCTCAGCGTCAGGCCGTGGACTTGGACTTTTATGAGAATGTATCAAGTCCACGATCTGACGGTGGGAATTATGATAACTATTATGACAGAACACTTCGGACAAAGTGCATCCAACCAAGTTGCCAGGAAAACCGTTGCGAAAACAAGTTCAATCCAGTTCTATACAACGAAAGGAGACTGCGACCACACCTTGTATATAAGAAGGAGAAAACGAATCACGGAGCGTCTAGTATAAAAGAAAAGTGAATCGAGGATTCGATGTAGTAAAACACAGACGATGGTGGAGTGTGGGGCTTGAATTTGGTGCAGGAGGGCGATGCTCGGTCACAGAAGGTAACAGCGGCACAAAGGGAGCGGTGAAGCAAGAAGCCCTCAATATAATGAGTTTCTGGCACAAGATACTTTTGTGTACTTTTAATGTCACATTCTGATTAGTTCAACAGAGAGAAACGAAGCGGTAACTAGGTTCACTTAGTCGCCACGGCGCATATGGCTGAGTCACGCTCCCAGCGATGTTGCGTGAGTTGAGAGATAACCGCAAGAGAGATGCAGCCAAAGTGATTGTGGAGTAAAAGTCACTACAGTTTGAATAAGTCCTGACTCCAAACTCTTTTTTAAAATATATTCTATTTAATATTGCCTAGATAAATAACATTTTGTTAAAGGGTAGTACAATTAATAAGTCGATCATAAAATTAGAAATAATAGCTGGTACTAAAAACATATTTATAGTTAGATTGATATCATAAAGACATTCGTGAGAGTGGGACGTCATGATAGCATTTCCATAGCGTATACCAACAAACTGAAGCATAAGAAGGAATACTAAAAGAAATTTTGATTTACAATACCTATTCATTTAGGTTGATTATCAAATCTTATACAGCACTAAGAAATATAATGAGAAAAAATGAATTAAGGAATAATCGATTGCGGAATAGGTACTTTCCCAAATCTTTGCTGGCAATAA